AAAAGGAAAAAAATAGAAAAGCTTACAAATAGAAACAAAATCGAATGTTACTTTAAATTAAAGCCATGTTGACATCTAATGGCATCTCCCCCTGCTTCGCTCTGCCTGTGTCTGCTGCATCCACCTGGCGGCTCTGCGCAGCCCTGCACTCCATCCACCAGTGTCAGACCCAATTCGGTGATCAATTCCCCCAGAGCCTCACTTTGCCCTCAGCATGTGCAGGAGGTACAGCAGCACACTGCTGTGTCCATGAGAACATAGGCAAGGCTGACCAATGCATGAAGCACACTGCATCCTCTAGAGGCAAAGCTTTGTTAGCAGCAAGTTAATTAACAGCACAGCAATAATGAGCTTCTTCCCTAGGGCAGGCAAGGCATGCAGCTTTCAGTGGGCTGAGAATAACCTCTGAGCTTCACCATCAAGGGCACCCATGCCAAAGTCACTCCCATGAGCTAGATACAGACTCATAACTCAATTCTTGCCATTACTCATTTAGCACCAGCCAAGCCACCAGCAACATGGGGATGTACAGATCCAAATCAGTTCAAGGCTTTGCTGTACTCTGCCCCAGCTATCAGGAAATCTCCACTATCTGAATCTCCTCAGCGTAATACACCCAAGGAATTTTCAGAGGATCCTCTTGCTGATACCATCCTTGGTGGTTGGATTCATTTCCACCCTGCAGCAGAACAGACACCTGCTTACCCCTTATCAGGCACATCACACTGCGTATCACAAGTTGGGTAACAAAAGTAAGCAATGAATGCACCTTGGGATAGCTGAGCAGCTCTGAGCTTACTGAAATCCAAGCCTCACTGTATTTAGCTTTAAGCAAAAAAAGGGAGCTGGCCACCAGCATTAGGAGAGCAGCCAGAGGATTAAACTTTTCCAATAATGAAACTGAAAACGCAGAGGCAGTGCACCCAGCTGCCTATCCCATAGCTGTGCCACATTAAAAGTACAAAGAAACCCATCTGAGCATCTCAAAGGGAACGATTCTGCAAACCACGCTGTCATTTCAAAGCTTCCCTCTGAAGCCTCTCCCCAGCCCCAGCACAGAAAGAAAAATCCATTAGCAGATAGGAAAACATGGCAAGGCTCCCTGCTGTCATCCGGGCAGTGCAGCCCCCAGTCAACTGCCTTAAGAGCAGCACACACTGCACCCACCCCACTGGGAATTGAGTAACTGGGTATGGAGACCAGGCGTTTCCATCCCTGCCAAAAGCTCCTTTACTTACATATCCTTGAACTTCACTCCTGTGCATGGACAGGTGCTGCAGACAGAGCTGCTGGCTGTGAGGGGAGCAGAAGAAACTCAGCAGTATCAGCTGTACTGAGTACTTTTACACCCAGAGATGCAGATCTGATATGTTTTTGAGTGGTGGGTTTGTTAGTGTTTTACACCATTTGCTATGAGCTTGTAGAACTAACCAGAAAGATCTCATGTGCCTTTGCAGCCTGTTCCCATTCCTAGATTTGGTTGTGCTACAAACACCAGCTCCACATTATGTTCACGTCCAACCTCAATTACACCAGCAGGCAAAGCTCCCAGATGTACAGTGCAATACAGATAGCAAAGCTGAAATCCAAATCCTTTTCTCTGATGACTTACACCTGCAGAGCATCCCCCACTCTGGGTGGAGGAGATGGCTGGAGCCTCACCCCCAGCCACCCACCTATTTCCACATGAGTCTCTCCAGGCTACAAACTGCTTCTTGCTCAGTCTGCTATGATGGGTTCAAAACCCCAGTGAGTTACAGGAAGGAAAAAAAACACTGGGGAAAAATATTGACATAGACGACTCTCCGTCTGTGCTGAGTCAATAATCTTCACCTCAACTCTGCAACCTTACAAAATAAAATTGCAGTGCTGACTTCTGGGAGGGGAGCTCGGAGGATGTCAGCTGTGTGACTCCCAGACCTACTGTCTCTGATGTAGTTCCTACAAGAGAGAAAGCCCCAAATCCAAGAGGCATGGCAGCTGGATATTTCATGAAGTTTATTCATGCTGCGTTGGATTATCCTTGCTTGTGGTAGGAAGCACAGGCTGACAGTGATAACTACATTCATGGTTAAAATAACAAGAAGAGAGGGAAGCACCCAGGCACATTTCCAATACGGACCCAAAACAGTGGGAAGAAGTAGTGCAATAAGAACCATAGCAAAAGCCCAGAAGACAGACAAGGGTGGCAGTGTTTATGTTCAGGCTATCATCCCAATAAAAGGATGGAATATAAGTTTTCCATAATTCCAGAGGATTTTCATGACAAATAACCTGTCCTTATGCTTCATAACATACAGCGATTGAACTTTGCCTACAGAAACTTTCATGCCAAGGTCAGAAGTAAAGTGGGCTGAGACAAAAAGCCAGCACAATAGCAAAGCCACATGTTTTCAGAGAAAACTCCTGTGGCATTTTAGGCTTTGATATGACAGTGGTGTCTAAAGCCAATCATATTTACAGGATAACAGTAAATACAACTGTTTGCTTCCAGGTATATTGTTTGAAACTCAATATGTGCCAATAAGTTTCACAGAGAAACTTTCATTCCAGCACAGCTACAAGAGATTGCATTCTATCACTTAAGGGCAGAGATGTATGCCCCAAATCCCAACTGAGCTGTGTTATAACTGCCAGCTCCTCCATCACTGCCCCGTTCCTCTCTGAGCAGCTCATAGCTCAATTGTAAGAAGTCACTCTGGGCTCTGGTTGACACAAGAGTTTTAGCTGAGCAACGGCAGTACTCGAGGATTTAAAAACCCCAGTGACCATTCTCTTTAAGTGACAATTGCTAAGCACTTGGCTTGCTTGCCTTGAAAATTTTCCTCTGCCCTGCTATAACTCAGAAACATCTCTAGAGCAGATAAAAGAATCACACAAGTATTAAATAATCAAGAGGAGCTATGTTTAAGTACTTAACTATAGATGGGACTAATGAATTCAAACTGCTATATCAAATATGAAAGTAATGAATGGTTTGCCAATGCTCAGTGACTTTGTGGTTTGGGTTTTTTTTTATAAATCTTAAAGTCAGTCAGTTTATGTACTCGTTTGGCAAAGGATGGGCAAATAATGGCTCTACTGCCATGGCTTGCAGTGACTTTAGCAGTGCACTGCGTACTTATCTTCCCACAAACACATTCTCAGCAGACAGATCAAGGTCTCAATGTTTGGCAACATAAGTGACAGCCCTGCCAAAAAATGCATGCTTTAACATTGTGCCAATAGAAGTACAATAGAGGAAACACTGGAATCACTCTAGGATCACATAGCAACACAAACTACTGGTGCAAACATACATGAGTGCAACGCAACCTCCCGGAGATCTGGTCCTTGTGAAACCACCCGGGTGCCACCACACATCTATGGGCTGTGAAATAACGTGGTGATACATCCCAGGTAACCACCAAGCAGAAGTGGCACAGAAAACAGCAGAGAAGAGAGCTGCTGGCTGAATGCCACGGAGCTCAAAATCCATAATCTGATACATTTCCAAAGCCCCAAAAAGATAAGAGTTACTTAGAGTGCAAGTACTACAATGACCTACATAAACACAGATCTTTTGTAAACAGTAGCCAAGAATGACAGGAACAAGCAGCTAACAGGAAAACATGATAGATTTTAATCATCGCTGGCTTTAAGCAAAGCATAACACCTTTGCCCCCATCCCCAGCTCCACACTACCTGCACAGATCAATCAACTGTGTCTCAAGAAAGCCTCCTCTGCAAAACAAACATGACGTTACCACGTTCCATTTGTCCTTGGTGTTCAATCAGAGCAGCCGCTTTCCTGAACAAGCAAGCCTCAGTTTCTCAGGTGGTTCAGAAATTCACACAGCATGTTTTTAAAACATCAGATCTCTCCTAAAATGTCTCAACCCTGGGATTAAACACAATCCGTAACTAGAATGAGTCACCCAAATGAGGAAAACTAGACCTCCTTGAGTACATCAGAAAGCACAGATGAGAAACATGGTTGGTGGGCACAGTAGCGATGGGTTGATGGTTGGATTAGATGAGCTGAGAGGAGTTCTCCAACCTTATTCATTCTGATTTTAAGTATATGCCTATACTTGGCATCTACCTGGAGGTACATTTTAGTAGTGATAAAAGAGGAAGAAACGGTTTTCTTTCCTACCCCAGCCCACAAACCTTGAACTATAGATGGTCTCCATCTATCTCCCAGGATGCTCAACATGCTGAGACAAAGCCACACCAGGCAATGCAACTCTGAATCCTGCTGCATTATACGCTCAAGAAAAGAGACACAAGTTCTTACTTGAATGAGCGAGGGTGGTTTTTTTTCCCCTATTAGTTTTCAGCACAGTCCCTGGAGCACCAGGGAGCCAAGGGACAGCTGAAAAGCATGCCCTCTAAAAACTACTCAAAGTAGGCAAAGCACCCAATAAGAAAAAAAGACACCAAAACATCTCAGGTCCTGATCTCCCATCCCACCTACAAGGTGATGCCAGGACAAATCCAGACTTTCAGTTCTGAGCAACGTCACATACAGAAAGAGCTAAACTCACCCAAACCGGTGAATGGGCTTTCTAATCATGCAGCACTCCTCCTCAAGAAGCAATCCAGGTCCAAAAGACATGCTCCCTTCAGTAACCAGCCCTTATCTGAGTCCAGGGCTCTAAAGCCTGGGTCCACCCCTTCCACTCAGATAAGGAGCACAGGTGCAAACACTTTGCCTGTGCTCCCTGAGCCAATCACTCTTCTTCACCAGGTGCTCAATCACCAGTTCAAGCCCTGACCTAATAGCTTCCCCACAGCTGACCTTTCCAATCTTACTCATTCTGTGATTCTGATGCCCAGTTCCCCCAGACACCAGTTTCAAGTGCTCTGAAAAAGTTTTAAAACAGAGAATTGAGATGAAAGGAGAAAGGAGCTGGAAATCTGAGCCCTTGGGAACTGTTGGCTGTAGGAAAGGGGTAGCTTGTTTTCAGTACGCAACCAAGCCCTGCTGCAGCCAGGAGCACAGAAAACCAACTCACAGCTGCTGAGAGCTTTCCTCCATTCTTCTGCACGTAGATGACCGCATCCCGCACCAGGGAGAAGAGGTTCAGGAGGACGTGCTCCATGTCATAGACACCACGCATGCCCTTGGTCAACCCCTCCAAGGAGCTGATGTAATCTCTCCAGTGACGGTCGATCTCACCAACCCCCGCCAGGCACCCGTACGTCACCGCACCGCAGTACCCAGCACAGGGCTTGGCCAGGAGCAGCCCCTGGCAGTGTGAGCAGTACCACATCTTGAGCAGCGCCCGCCCGCACTCCTTGCTGAGCTTCAGGTGGTCGGTGGTGTTTATCACCTCGATTCCCAGGTTGAGTGCTTGCAGAAAGACCCGCGTGGCCTGCAGTGACTTGGACACCTGCGTCATCATCATCTTCGGGTAGTTACCAAAGGCCTTGAGGTCTCTCCTGGCTGCACGCAGGCATTCAGTCATTTCCACCGAGGGATCCGGGAAGCCAGGATTGATCAAGTGGGAGTAGACCAAAGGAAATAAACTATCAAAAAATTCATTTATCATGTCATTAACCCTGATGTCAGAGCCCAGTATGTACAGCGAGACATCCGTGAAAAGTTCTCCAACAAACTTAAGAGCTCTGGGCCCCATGCTCTTGTAGTGGTTCCTAAACATGCTGTTGGTGAAGTTCCTTGCGTGCCTCACTACGATCTCAAAGGCTTCTGCAAAAGAAAACAAAACAAAACGGGTGATTAGGAGATGAGCTCAGAAACAGGGAGGATAACTTCAGGTCCTATCACAGCTGCAGGGGCTGCTCCCATTCTGACCAGTGTGGGTCAGCCATGCCTGCTGCAATACTGATCATCTTCAGCCATTCGGACATTAGGAAACATTTATTCTCAGAAAGAGTGGTGCTGTACAGACACAGCTGCACAGGGAGTGGTGCCCTGGAGGTGCTCCAGAATCATGGGGATGTGGCACTGAGGGATGTGGTGATGGGCATGGTGGGGGTTGGGTTGGACTTGGGGATCTTGGAGGTCTTTTCCAGCCTTAACGATTCTGTGATCCTACAATTTCCAGGTGAACACCCACATCCTTTAAGCATGAACTGCTTTTCAAAATTGCAAAAACAAGGATCTAGTTAACATTTCAGTTTTTAAAGAAAATATTGATCCAAGAAAAGGGCTAGACTGCAATTTCACTCTCTCCCTCTTCCATATTGATTTGAAATTAACAGGAATTCTATCTTCAGACAATTTAAGACAGAGATAAATGTTTGACAATCTACACAGTGTTCAAAATCGGGGAACAGTAAACGCTGACATTCCATTATGAGAAGTAAAACATGTAGGAGTTTAATCACAGAGGAGATTCAGACCCAACTGGTAGCACCACACACCCTTATGCCACCTGAAAGGCCTCTGCAGCTCCTTAGCTCTCCTGAATCCACATTTTATCCACCCTGGACACAGCAGCATCGTGGCCCATAGCGATGCTGAGCCTCCAAGTCTATGGGTCGCTGACACCCCATGATGTAGCTGCTCTCAGCTGTGTCACTGTGGAAACCTGCACCCAGTGCACCCAGGCTCGATTTGCATGGAAATTATCCATGTTCAATAATTAAAGGGCGTGTTTAATTTTTAAAGCCATAAGTTCCATTTTTTTTCTCTTTGTTAAGTCGGAGATACAGCCATGCACGGTCTGACTCCTCCACACAGGGATCCAGGATCAGCGCAGCCACAGGCAGTGCTGGGTCCCCAGCAGCTCCCAGACCACCCCCAGGACTCCATGCTTCCCCCAAGCACAAACCATGCACACAGGGACCTGATGCTCCCTGCTGTCTCCCATACCAGCATGCAGAAAGCTATGCTGTGAGCACCGATTGGAACAGAAATGACCAAACACAACCATTCAAACCACATTTCCACCCGCGTGGTGCCAGCAGCACCACAGCAGCAGTAGGAAAGCAGATTCTGGCTGCTTTGCTATAGAAAGTTTTAAAGGAAAAAAAAAAAAAAAAAAAAAAAAAAAAAAAAAGGTCCTTTAAATAGGACACAGGGATTATGAAACTTTTTTTCTCCTTTATCCTCAAGAGCACCAGAATAGCTTTTGCCTGAACAAAGAACACAAAGCACTTTTTGGGGCAGCGTTTTTAACAGTGCCAGGATTCTCATGCTGTGCTCACGGCTCGACTTTAACCTTCTCTCTGTGAGTTCCCTTATAAAAAGTCACCCCCTCTTCCCTCTCCTCGCTCCTCTGTGCTTTGCAAGTTACCATCAGAGCTGAGAGACCCTTCGCTGATTAGAAAAAATATTCCAGGCTCCAATGCAAGGCTCCTACGGCGAGAAATGCTGCAGAAAGGAACTGAGAGCAGTGTGCATCAGAGCAGCACGCACACACAGTCCCACTGCTTCAAGGGTCGTGACACGCACATCGTTTTCCTCATCAAGCTGCCTGAGAGTGCCTATTTCGTGCGCCTCGGAGCCTTTGCATATACCCATTAGAGAGCGCAACAGGCACAACAAAGGCACACGGAGCCTCCTGCTGCCCTGCTAATAGATGTGAGAAATAATAAAACTTGGTCCAAAAAAAAAAAAAAAACCAAACAAAAAGTCTCCCAGATCCAAAATATCTCACGCCCAAATCCCCTGGCGGTTGCTACAAGAGCACTAAAACCCAGGGACAACCCAGGGCCGTGCTGTGAGCGCTTCAAAGCACGGGAAGTGTGTGGGTCAGCCCCTGTGCTCAGGGCTTTGCTACTGGGAAAAACTCATAGCACGGCACTCCTGCAGTCCTGACTGCTGGGGGAAAATTCAGGCTTTTATTTCTTTTTCTTTCTTTTTTCATTTCAAGGATATTTTCAAACCCTGCCATTTAAAGAAGCTGGTCCTCAGCTCTTGCTGAAGCAGAGCAAATATCCTGACAGCAGTGATGGGGCGCATTGGCAGACTTGCACCCATTTCCAGCACGCGTGGCAGCACAGGGTTCACGTGCTACTGCCTCCATCACTGTAGCTGTGCATACACGACAGAGCTCAACCACACTGCTCTGCCCCAGGGTGGGAGGGAATGGCCTCAAGCTGCATCAAGAGAGGTGCAGGTTGGATGGTGGGAACAATTTCTTCGCTGAAAGAGTGATGGGGCACTGGCACAGGCTGCCCAAGGAGTCACCATCCCTGGAGGTTTTCCAGAACAGTGGGGATGTGGCACTGAGGGATGTGGTCAGCAGGCAATGTTGGTGGTAGATGGATGGTTGGATTAGGTGACCTTGGAGGTCTTTTCAAACCTAATTATTCTAGCTGCTCATTGCCAGGTGAAACCAAGGGAAGTGGTGCAGGACGTGAGGCAGAGCACCACCAGCTGCAAAGCTCCATAGCTGTGCTGTAGATCTGGTGATGAGCTCTGGAAAGGGTGGTTTATTAGGGCTCACAAAGGATGCATGAAACAGTGAAACCTTTACTCCAGAGCACATTTATCAGGCAACAACTGAAAAGTGTAGGCTCTTATTATTGTTTCAGCAGGACTCCCCTCAAGCATCTGGGGGTGAATTGCAATGGTCAAGAAGGAAGAATGATGCTGTGTCACCATTACATTGGCACATATGGGCAGGTGCCATCTCCATCAGGATCTTGTGGCATGTGAATTCATAAGTTCCTAATGAATTCCTCAATCAGGTGAAGTTCCTACCTTCAGGTCCAGGGTTTCCAATAGTCAAGAGTCCCATATGTTTAAAATAAATGCTCAGCCACAAGAAGCCATACCACACACTTTAGCATTTACAGATGGAAATTCCAATATTCATCAAGAAAATCCCCCAAGTTTTGCTTTTTTGCAAGTTTGCCAAGACGTTTTCTGACATGGCAATTGCTGTGGTACTGCTGGGAAACTGAGAAAGCAGCCATAGGCATCCATGTGTGAGTGAGGTCTGGAGAGGGAAATACTTCTTTAATACCTCGTGGCAGCAGCCTGTATTCCTGAAAGACACACAAAGGAGCTCACCAAGAGAGAAACAACTGTTTGCAATAATGGCCTGGCTGCCACAGGCACTGCTGGTGAGACGAACTGTGAGTCATTTTTCAAACAGCAGGTAATATTTATTTACAAACTTGGAAAAGGTTCGCAGTATATTGAGCAGAAAGGAAACAAAACCCAAGAGTTTTTCCCCTGGCAGCAATAAGAGCAGACTCCAGATTTGTTCCTTTATGATATACACTACTGTGCAAGTTTTTAACAACATTATCTGGAGACAAAAGCTCTTCTAGGCAGCATAATTACTTTTGTCTGTAGCACTGCAAAGCCCATCAGATGGTGCCACTGCTGCTCTTACAAGGTTTGTTTCTCTGAACACATTTGGAGCTTAGGAAATGGGTTTTTCACCCCTCGAATATGAGACAGCCTTTTGGATTACTTTTGCAATAGTGTCATGATAAAATTTACGGACTCGAGCTCCCAAGGATTATGAGATTAGCTTCAAAGCATTTGTAATAGAAATTAAAACAGTTCAATTATTCTGTCTTCCCACTTTTAAGCCATCAGGGCTCACATTTTCTCCCTTTGCTCCATCACCATTAGAGCAAAGAAGAGAGGTCTGTGTCCATTCTCCAGATCAGAGGGGGCTCCTCTCTCCCATGCCCTTCCACGGGATCCGAGGTAGAGGTTTCCAAAGGCAGAGCTGCTCACCAGCCAAAGCCGTACCATTCTGCTCATCAGAGAGCATCTTCTCCTAATTATCTGCGCCCATCAAAATGCCAGGCTCAAAACCCATTTATTTTAATCGTTCAGCTTATTTAGTGCCCTGGCATTTGGAAACGCACTCCCTGAAGTTTTTCACAAAAATACTGTATGCTAACTCCTCATTAGACCCACACCAAATGCCTCGAGAACACGCTCCCATTACACTCTAGGTAGCTGTCCGACTGCAGAGCAATTAGTCACACCGCGGCTCACCCGTTTATTATTTATACCCTGCACACAAACCCCTTAACGTCAGGGCTCCGAGGTGCCACTCTCCACGTGGGCTTCCCAAGAAGAACTCCCAGGAAAGACCACTCGACAAATAACTGCTCAAAGGAGAAGTCTTTCCAGGAGCTTTGTGCTTACCACGCGTCTGCGGTGCTGTTGATTAAATATGGGTTGCACATCTATTGTATAATTTGTTTTTCGGAGCATCAAGTAATATTCTGCTTTGTGCCTTGACAGATGTGCGAATGCTTAAAAAGATTCGTGAAAATTTAATAAAGACAAAGTTAAAAATGCAAACAGTCAAGGCTGGCACGAGGGGAGGATGAACATGATTCTTTATCAAAGCGAAAGGGAGCGGGGGGAATAAGGGCAGGCTCAGCTGAAGCTGAGGAAGCACAAGAAGGAAAGGCAGAGAGGGATGTATGGGGCTTCTGCTGCAAGAAAGTGGTTCTTTTGTTTAGGGGCAGTGGATGGATGGCAGGATAGGCCTGGTGAGTTGGGGTTGGACTGGATGATCTTAGATGACTTTTCCAACCTTAAGGACTCTATGATTCTATTTGGAGACTCTTGTTTTGAGATGATGTTAATCTGCACCATCCACCTGTGCAGAGGGCAGTGGGAGCACAGAGCTGGCAGGGCTCAAGGTCAGGGAGGAACATTTCTCTTTCACAGAAATATGCACACTACCAATATTTCATATCTTCCTCTTTCCCTCTGAAGGGAAAAAGTTAATTAAACCAATCCAAGAGGACAAAACAAAT